GTGCTCCCCCCCCCCCTTTCTGCCGAGGGGGGGGTCTTCGCTGTGATTTGATTGCGGGCGCATCGGGCTCTGATGGATGGCCATGCTCAGTTGTTTTGACTTTTTAGCTGATCGAGTCTCGTCCATTGGCTCGACTGTTCGCAAGTCAGGGCTGCGACTAGCTCGCAAGCTGCGTTCGCTGTCGCAAGGCGCATCTGAGTTGTTCCTGCTCCCCTTTTTCCTTGGGGCGCCCATCCTGTGCCCCCAGGTGACCGTGAAATCCAGGATCCTCGCCCCTCTCCTCTCCCGGGCCTGGCAGATCAGACGTTGAGCGAAGGTCCAGCAGCCAAGGCTGCGATCGCACGCTTGCCGCAATCCGATTTTTTGGCTGGAGCAAGTACGGCCAGGGCCCCCAGTCAGCGTGTGGTGGACTGGTCAGCCCCCGCCCCTGCGCCTCCAGCGACGTCTGAGTCAGCCAGGCCTCAGAGTTGCGGGCTCGATGAAGGTCTGCTGGTGTCCACCGTGAACGCCAACAGCTGGGGCGCATTAAAGGGATTTTTGTCGAGCTGTTCCTCGCACATCGTCTTGGCTCAGGAACATCGTCTGAGGGGCAGCGACGAGATCGGCACGGCCTCGAAAGGGGCCAAGTATTTGGGATGGAAATCGATTTGGGCTCCAGGTGTTATTGGCGACGGCGGGGGCACATCCTCTGGGGTTGGCGTATTCGTGCGCGACGCGCTCGGCATCTTTGAGCATCAGGACAGGGTCGTGCTGGCCGAGGGCCGCGCGATTGGGGCCATGGTGCACGTGCCAGGTTGCGCCACCTTCTGCGTCCTCTCCCTCTACCTCCGCCACGCCACAGTGAAGGTCTGTCCGAGGCCAACCTGTCTGTTGAAATCCGTGGGGGGGTTTATCGGAGATCTGGAATGCGAGTTCGTTATTGCTGCCGACTGGAATTTCCCCCCTGAAATCCTTTCTGGTTCGGGGTTTCCCGCTAAAACGAATGGTGCTGTTGTCAGTGATCAGGGGCACACCCATTTCCCGAGTGTTGGGCCCCCTGTGAGCTTTGATTATTTTGTCGTGTCTCGTGCGTTGTCTTTGGGTATTAAGCAAATCGACGTGCAAGTGGATTCCACCATTCACCCTCACAGGCCAGTTGCCCTGCGCTTTCACAAGTCTGCGGGTGATCTCAAGGCTCTCGCCTTCCGCCGTCCTCCCGGCCTCCCCGTGGAGCCTCCTGTGGGCGCGCAGCCTGAGCCTGGCTCGTGGGACGTTGCTTTGGGTTGGGCTAGGGGGGCCTACCAGGCGGTGGAGGATGGCGAGGGCGAGCGTGCCCGAGCCTTGTTGGCGCCGGGGCACCGAGCATGGGCTAACTCGGCCGAAAGGGATCTCAGCACCATTATGGGGGTGACGGTTCCTAAGGGAACCAGGGCCAAGCGCCCCCAGTTGTTTTGGAAGGGCATCCTGAAGGCTGGTGGTCGCGAGTCTAATCCTGCCCTCAGATCTATTCTTCGGTTGAGCAGTCAACTTCGTTCTTCTAAGTGCTATGTGAGCCCTGAGGGCCTTCTCGACGGAGGCCGCCAGGTGCTGGCGGTGCTCTCGGAGCCGCCGACGACGGCGGCTGTGGCGCCAGACTCAGAGCACGCGCCTCTTTTTCGCACTGCCGCAGGCTTAGCACGTAGTCTTCTTTGCTCGGTGGACGATCCTGAGGTGGCCGCCGACCTGGATCGGCTCATCGGGGACGTTGCCGAAGCTTGTGCTTCTGCTAAGGCCGCCGCTGCCAAGTCTTCGAGGAAGGAGTGGCAGGACTGGGTCCGTCAGGGGCCCGAGAAAGGTGCGAGGAACGCGCAGAGGGCCATCCGTGACCCGGAGGCGTGGGCCCCCACTACCACGCTCTCGCGCTCGGGCATCGTGGTGTCAGATCCGTTGAGCTTGCTCAAGGCTGAATCGGCTAAGTTTGTTTCCATCTGGAAAGAAGGGGAAGGTCAGGGCCTCTGTGGCAAGGAAGTGTTGCCGCGCCCCCCGCCCCCCCCCCCCCCTCTTGAGCCTGACCTCATCAGGGCCATGTTGAAGAAGTACACGCCAGCGGCGGCCGTCAGTTTGGACGGCTTTCATTGTCGCCACATTAGCTTGCCCCTTGACGATGCTCTGATGGCCTTGTCTTTGTGGTTCTCGGTGATGGAGGCCACGGGGGCGTTGCCTGTTCAGCTTTCGTGGGTCCTGGTGGCTCTTTTGGCCAAGCCCTGTGGGGGCTTCAGGCCGATCGGCATCTTCCATAGCTGGTACCGAGTCTGGGGTCGGTGCCGTCGCATCGAAGCTCTCCGTTGGGAAATCCAGCACAGCCGTTCGCACTGGACGGCGGGGGCCCACCGAGGGGCTGGTGATGTTGTCTGGAGGCAGGCTTTCAGAGCGGAGTCGGGGACGGTCCGAGGCCAAGTTAGTGCCTCGATGTTCTGGGACCTTCGCAAGTATTATGAGCATATCGACCTTGGATTTCTGTGGGCCAAGTGTAAGCAGCATCAGTTCCCCTTGGGAATCGCGCGTCTTGCGATTCACGCCTATTCCTGCGCCAGGTTTGGGAGGAATAGTCGACGGGCCCTACTTCGCTAGGAAAGGAGTCGTCGCGGGTTGTACCTTTGCGACGAGTCTGATCAGGGTGTTCGCTCTGGAAGCTTTCGACACCATCCCGAGAGGCCCTGGGAGTTCTAGTTCCTGCCCCCTGGATCTCGATTTTGACGTCTATGTTGACGATTTGAGTCTCAGCGCGACGGGCAAGCCCAGCGCGGTAGTTAGTTATTTGGTTGCAGGTGCGAGAGCACTTCACACGGCAGTTACCTCGACGCTCAAGTGCAAGCTGGCCATGGATAAGATCGGCATGGTCTCCAGCAGCAAGAGCGTATCGGTTTCGCTCTCAGCGGAGCTTGGGGATTTAGTGGGTGATCCAGCTTGCACTCGAGTGACCAACTTAGGTGTGGACTACACGACTGGCAAAGCGGTCAGAGCTCCTGGGAAGAACAGGAGTGCCAAAGCCAAGCAGAGGGCAGCTGCGGCCCTCAGGAAGTCTCGTTGTCTTGGGAAGCTCGGTCCGACTCTGGGGCGCAAGGTGGTTAAAGTTTGTGCCTCGGGGCCCCTTGCGGGGGCCGTGTACGGTTCCGATATGTACGGAGTCTCTGACCGTGAGCTTCTTTCGCTTAGGCGCATGGCCATGTCTTGCGTGAAGCCCGCGGCCCAAGGCAGGTCTCTTTCGGTTGTGTGCCTGTTAGAAGGGGGTCCGACCTGGAGGGCCGCCTGTGCCCCTATCACCAGATGGGCTAAGGAGGTCTGGATTCTCCAGACTGGGGCCTTTGAGTGGGCCATGGGTTGGGCTGAGCTCAGGGCTGGCTGGAGTTCGGTGTTTGACAAGGACGACTGGTCTTGGGCCAACGTGTCTGGCCCCATCTCCGAGCTCCGCATGTCTCTGTATAGGCTTGGATGGACCATGCCAGATTTCACCACCATCGTTGACGATCTCGGTCGAAAGATCTCCCTCACCCTTTCCCCGCCTAAACTGGTCAAGGCTTGTTGTAAGGAGGCGGTTGTTCGGAGCCTCGAACGTGAGTCGGGGGACAAGTTTCAAGTGGGTTGCCGTCTCTGTTGGGACGTGCCCAAGAGGCTGCTAGCCTCGAAGAAAATCCCTGGGTTGAAGAAAGGCACGATTCGAGCTTTAGCCACCAACGCTTGCTGGACTGCAGGCGATGCGGCTGACTTAGGTTATCACATCTCCAACCTGTGCCCGCTCGGCTGCGGCGCCAAGGACACCCTGTTTCACCGTTTGTGGGCGTGCCCGTGCGTGCAGGCCGTGCGGGACGAGCACATACCGAAGTGGATTCAGGAAGCGGCGCTGGAAATGCCAGATGACGACCCTGAAAAGCGAGCTCTGTGACTGCACGGAGCGGTCAAACATCCTGGGGATTGGGCTCCCAAGCCAGCTATTTCGCCAGATGGGGTCACTGTGGAATGGTTTGCGGACTTGCTCCCTGGCCCTGCCAGGCCAGACCTTCCCCCCTCGATTGTTCCTAGCGGTGGCCTCTGGGGGCACATTTTCATGGATGGATCGTGTTCTAGGCACACTGCTAGGGAGCTGTCGAGGGCTGGGTGGGCGGTGGTGATGGTCTCGGAGTCTGGGGAAAAGTTGGGGGTCATCAAAGGTCCCCTCTGGGCTCCGTGGCCTCAGACCCCCCAAGGTGCCGAGTTTGGGGCACTTGCCTGGACTGCTTTATATGCTGAAGGCCCCGCTCAGTGTTATTCAGATTGTTCTAGCGTTGTGCTGCTGCAGCATCTAGGCGCCGTCGAGGCGCTGGGTCCCGCCCGTCAATACGCTGGCTTCGTTATGCAGGCTCGGCACCACTTTGGCAGCTTCTGTGTAGGCTTTCACAAAGTGGCTGCCCACAAAGATGTGGACGAGGAGGGCTTGTCGGCGGGGGAGCGGTTTCGATGTGGCAGCGAAGGAGGGCGCGTCGCACCATCCGACCATGTCGCCGACGGAGTCGGAAGACTTGGATCGGACTATCAAGATTGCTCGTGATGTGCTGCAGGGCGGCGCGGAGCTCCTCCAGCTCTGGCCCTAAGTTGACTTCCGCGGCCTTGAGCGAGTCCAGCCGCCAAAGCCACCTCGACCTGTTGGTCTGGAACTCGAGCACGAGTGGGAACGCCAGGGCAGTCTCTGGCGGTGCCGTGTTTGTTTGCGAGGTTCCAGGGCGGTTTCCCTGCCGCTGGGCGTTTCGGAGTGCGCGGGCCGCAGCAGGCTCGATCAGGCCGTCCTGGAGCGTCTCAGGCATAGGGTATTGGCGTTCCCATGCTCAGATAAGTCTCACCTGTTCCTTTGCATGACGTGCAAGTTTTACAGCAGTGGTGGAGTTGTGTTAGGCCTGGGCCGTAAGTGCGGTCCTCCTACGGAGACGGGCATGAAGAACATACGTAAGCTCCGTAAAGGCCTCCACCCTGACAAGAAGGGTGTGTTCGTCGCCATCGACGAATTCATC